TTTTTGACCAAATGATAGTTAGGGATCAAGGAAAGATGCCAGCGACTGCAGAGCTGTCAGGAATGGTTTAGCAGATGCAGGGGCTGGGGTGGGCACTGCAGACAGAGGACTGGGAGGGAGAAGAGGGATGGAACCCCTCTGATGACAGAAGAAAGAGCAGACACAAGACAACTCAAGAAACCAGGCTGACTACTTCTGCTGCACTTGGAACAATTTTTTCAGTAGAGTACTGCCAAGAGAGCAGATTTCATTTTCATATAAAAGGAACATGCCCACCTGTCCCTATAAACTAGCATGCCCAATACAGCACAATAAAAGATAAGCTTTCTCCTCAAACTTAGCACTTGTATCCAATAACTTGTATCCAGTCTGAGCACATCAACAGGAATTCTAATTATTTATAATAACAGAAAAGGTTCTCATTTAAGATGATAATATGCATGCTTATACTGAGAGATTACAGCAAAATAAAGTGCATGCAGAGTAATTCAATTTCTGTATTTTTAAATTCATGAGAGGCACGTAAACATAGTTAACTGTAACTAATGATCTAACCTGTTTAATATGCTTTCCTTATCTTGAAAGGTAACTCTCTTTTCCTATAGGAATGCTTTTGGCGTGTTTAACATGCAAATGTTGTACCTCAGTGCTGACACTTCAGCTTTTCCTGTAGTCTGAAATCAGAAGTTACTGACACACTGCTGTTGGTATCAGCCTGCCATTGCCTGATAGATACTACATTAGCATTTTCAGCAGAGATTTCTTCTGGAGGAGGCAGATGGAATTACCTTCTCTYTGTTTATGCAACAGACTCTTCAGATAGGAGAGTTACAACATATCACCATGTGCTTCTCATAAGAGCTGTGCTTTGGGAAAATCAGAGCTAGCTCCCTACTAACGAGACATTGCAAGCTCCTGGAACAGCAAGGAATATAATTTGTACTATTAACRTGAAGTTATGCATTCTAAATTACAGACTGCTTTGTTTGCCAGGATTTTAGACACCCTAGACATTACACTGTATCAAAAAAAAGCAAACCTTTTGCAACTAGATGCTAGATGCTATGAAAAGAATACCTCCCATAGTTTTCAAAAATCAGTTTTCCATACTTTGCAGAGCCTGAGGCATGAAAATACTCATACATTCACAAGCCCACTAAATATGTAAAACAAGTCATTATCCTTAAAACTCTTGGCCCAGGAGAAGAGTCAGGACCGTGATTTTTGGAGATTACAGTTTTCATTATAGAAGTAAAAAGCTAGTGTGATCAGGATTTTTAGTTGGCTTTTTCTTTTTAATAACACCAGCCACWACACTTTAGTTCAGAGCTGCAGACAACTCAGTCAAAGTTAACTTCCTCCTCTTTTTCTCAGTGCAAGACTGCACTACCAGAGTCTGCTAAGGTTTCAGCAAAAGKACTGCCTGTAAGAAACAAGCTGGCTTCACCCACCAAATCCGACTATGTGTGCGRAAACAGTGTCTTCTGACCACCTCTAACCAGCCTGTATTACAGCCCATCACCTACAAAAATGTTAGGGAYAGACAGTAAGGTACAAGTCAGCTACAAATGAAAGCGAATCACAAGAGAAGCGCTTCACTCTTTCMGAGCATCTGAGGGATGTGGTAAGCAAGCACAATCAGTCCAATTCAGCAACAGCATAATATAGCCATTGTTTACAAAAGCAATGTTAAAAGCAAAACATGTTTTGATAACAAGAAGGAACACATGAAATGGTTTTAAATGAACAAAAAGCTATTTTAGAACGTCCTTTATGTATCACTAGGTGTTTTCTCTTGCAAACAGAGCTCTAGGCAAGTTATGTGTGAAAAGAAGAAATAAGATAGTAAGAAAGTGCTCATTCAGATTTTTCTACTTCAAAGCACTTAAAAATGCCCTCTAAACGATGTTGCCTTGAGTCTTTTGCAGTTCCTTTGGTTACATATGTTCACTGAATTTTTACACTCTACTGTCGCCCCCTCTATATACAGATATTTGGCTGTTTTCACCTTTCTAATTAGCTTGATAGCTAATTTACTACACAGCAATAGTGGTCTAAACAAACCAATGTTGAACATCTTCAGAGAGATACCACGATGCCAGCCGTTCCCATGGGAGAAAAACAATAGATAAGCTCATAAGACTCCTTTCATCTTACCCACATCAGTCCTCCTCAGCGTTCACAGCCAGTATGTAATATAATTTAGAGTTACAGAAGAGGCATAACCCAGTAAATACACACTAGCAGTGAATTACAGAGTAAGCCTGAGTCCAACAGACTCCAGCAGACATTGAGCAATGTCAGCACCCCATCAGAGGAGGGTGGGGCAAGCAGCACAGAGAAGCAAAACTGAAAGAATGATGTGAGGAAAGAAGCAGCCCCAATGTTACAATTTTCTGCTTTATTAGAAATATTTTATGATACTACACTAAGCTTGGCTTCCCACTTCATCTACCAACTGAATACATGTCTAACCTTTAACGACCAAGGACTACAAAAGGATAAAAAACCAGGAAGATGTAATAAGTGGGGAAATAAAGGCTTTCTCTCTTCCTGTTTCCTTGTTAGTATCACATCTTAACAGTTATCAAATTTTTAAGAACAACCTTTGAAAAAACACTGGTGTCTGTGGGGTTTCAATTCCTCTTGTACCCAGCATTTATTCAAATTTTTTTATTGTGTCTCCTCTTTTCTAAAGCTTCCCTTCCTCTATCTCTCTTTCCCTTACAAGGCACACCTCAGTGTCTTACCAAAGCCATAAGTTCTGCTTTTGCACCTGGCCCATGTGAACATCTGCAAAGGCCAGTGGTGCCTTATTCATTAACTGTGTGCTGGAGGTACATCCTTGCTCTTCTTTCTCATACTACATAGTGCAGTAGTTCCCAAAACAAATAGGGAACATCAGGAGGAAAAAACCATACCTGCCAAGACAAACAGAAAATCCTGTATTTTGGTATAAATCCTCTCTATCCTGGTTTGAACTCAACTTCAGAGTAAAAACATGCAAAGGAAAAAAACCCACAGTGCAAAAAGATCCAAATACGAAATCCCTTTCCTCTCCCTTGGTGAGATGACTTTTTCTCAAGCGTATAAACAAAATTCAACAGATTAAAAATAAACATACAATGAAAAACCCCAAACTCACAAGAGAAAAAGCCCACAGACAAATAAAAACCTTGGTCATCAAGCATAATTTAGACAAGTAACAACTGAAAAATTCAGAGACAGCAGCAGAAGTCAGTAAGTAATTTGTTTTTAAATGACTTTTTTTTTTAATAGCCTGTATGTGCAGAGCTGATTTGTGAGCAAAAAGCGCCAGTCTTCTAGAAACCAGACTCAGAGATGCAATAATTCTCACATCGACAGGAGCCAGCCCACTCAATAAATTTCACACAAACAAAACCCTAATGAATTCAGAAGGGCTCTTTGCAACTCTTCTGTGTCTGATAGAGAAATCATTCACTGGCACCCAGTCCTGACCCACTCTGTGATCAAGACACAAGGCTGGGTGGGACTCAGAGCTTAAGGCTGTTTCCTTTTGTCATACTAATTAAACTRTACTGGGTACAGAAAACCTGTACAATGTGAGTCTATAAGCTCACACAGCCGCTTTCAGGACTACTGTTACAGCTACCCATGCYCCAGACCTCCAGTAGACTGACTCAAACTTGTTTCCAAATGTTTACAGTTTTAAGCATGATTTCCCAGACAACCTATTTATTCACACAGACAACTGAACAATAGTAATGTGGCAAATTTGGATACAATGCCATGTTTGCAACTACCTCATGGCAACATTTCACACAGTACCTCAACAAGCATTATTTTACAGCTATGTCTCCCTATTTAAAGTTCAAGTGACATTTTTGCCAGTGGTTCATGTTCTGGTCCAGATCTCTAAACACAAAAGGCTGTGAAATGACATCAGCATACAGAAGAGTTATCCAAAATACTAAGTCATAACAGAAAAAAAAAAAAAAACCAAAACCCCTCAAACCTGATTATTTCTAATGGAAGGCTGTCTTTACCAGTTTACCCAGATATAAAGCACATGCAAACCATTTTCTTCTAGCTAGGTATCCCTAGCTAGACTCAAGACATGTAGTTTGCACAAATAACAAGTAGTACCAGGACCTACAGATACGAGGCAAACCTATATGTAGCTTAAAATAGTCGTTTGCACTCTTGAGGTTCTTAATTTCAGCTTCCTTACTTAAACATGCCAAATGCTCAGTAATCCGTTCCTTAGTTTTCCTATGCGCCTACCAAGTTTCTGCAAGTCTGATGAATACTGCACATCACAGTTCCCCCTGCCCAGAGAAAGCCAACATGCTCCTGAACTGAAGTTTTCTCCTGAAAACAGTCAAGGGTAAATATCACCCTGACCGACATCGGCTGCAAGTCAGATTTATATAAAGACRAGCCCTCGTCCAGAAAGCCTGGACACGGCCTGACAAAACCCTGTAAGCCCTAAATCCTTTTCCCAGCCCGCTTAAATTGGATGTTTCCAGCCTCACAATGCTTCAATGGCACCGGGCTGCTTAATTAAAAAGAGGAAGGGGACCTCCCTACACACCCATTAGGAGTTATTTGATACATCAGATAGATGAACAACAGCAAAATAGAGAGGAAACTCCTTCCGGGAAGACACGAGGGGCTGTGCCCTCGAGAAGTCCCTGTCCCCAGATCAAGCACCCCGGACCCCCCGCCTGGGCCTCCTCCTCTCCCCCGAACCCGCTCCCCGCGTCCCCCAAGGCGGCTCCGGGCCGGGACCCCGCCGCCATGAGGCGCCTGAGCACGGGAGGACAACAGGTAAACCCGGTCCGGAGGGAAGGAGGGAGCGCCTGAGGCAGAGTCTCCTGCCGCCGCCTGAGCGAAAGCCTGGGGCAGACGCAGGGAGAAGCGAGTGCTCCGGGGCGCAGGGGAGGAGGCGGCCGGCGGAGGGTCCTGCCCGCCCGGCCGGCAGCTCCCGGCGCCCGCGACCCTCCCGGTGCACTCACACACACACAGCTCCACCACGTAGGCGTAGTAGGACCAGGCCACGACCAGGGCGATGAAGGCCACGGGCACCCAGGCCAGCACCTTCTGGCAGCACTTGAGGACGTGGGACGGCGCCATCTTCCCGGCCGGGCACCGCGGCAGCGCCGTCGCTGCGACGGGCGGGCGGCGGCTGCAGCTCCGGCCGCCGCTGCGGAGCCGGCCCCGGGCGGGCCCTGGGCGGGCCGCAGTGGGCGGGAGAGGGGCGGCCCCAGCGGCCGCCACCGCCTCCTTCTCGGGGTGCCGGAGCGCTTCACTGGATCACAGATTAGTTAGGGTTGGAAGGGACCTCCGGAGATCATCCGGCCCAACCCTCCCTTTACCAGAGCAGGGTCACCTAGAGCAGGTGACACAGGAACGCGTCCGGGTGGGTTTGGAGTGTCTCCCAGAGAGGGAGACTCCTAGGCAGCCTGTTCCAGTGCTCCGCCATCCTCCAAGGAAAGACGTTCTTCCTCTCAGGTTTCTTTCTGTGTTTTAATTTATGGCCACTGCCCCTTGTCCTGTCATTGAGCACCACCGAAAAGCACCTGGCATCATTCCTTTGGCTCCCGCCTTGGAKATATTTGTATGCATTGATGAGACCCCCACACAAATCTTCTCTTCTCTAGACTAAAAAGGCCCAGCTCCCGCAGTCTCTCTTCATAAGAGAGATACTCCAGACCCTTAATCATACTCGTGGTCTGCCACTGGACCCTCTCCAGTAGCAACTTGTCTCTCTTGTACTGAGGAGCCCAGCACTGGACACATCACACCAGCTGTGCCTCAGTGCGGTTGAGCAGTGGGAGAGGATCCGCTCCCTCGACCTGGTGGCCGCACTCTTCYCGGCGCATCCTTCCCCCATGCAACTCGGGCACTCGGGGACCCGCCGCCCCCCGCCTCCCTCCCCCTGTTCGCACCGGCGCGGCCGTCTCGGGGCGGGATTCTCCTCAACCATAAAAACTCATCTYAAGCCTCTTTGCTCTCTCTTTTCCGCGGCCCCGGCCGGGCGGGTCGGTGTGGCAGCAAGGCCGTGGGATGGGTCCGGGCAGTCGAACCTGCGTCGTACCCGGGCGCTGCCGGGCTGCAGCCTCCCCCTGCTCGCCGAGCACTTACAGAGCCCAAACAGCCCGGTGGGTGCGGCAAAGGGAATTTATAAATAACTTACTGCTGTTTGTTTGATCGGCCGTTCCCTGAACGGCGCTGAGAGTCTGACAGCTGCGGTCACACCGCGACACCGGGCGGGCACCTCCGGGGGTACTGCCGTGTGGGGCTCAGCCTCKGGAGCGCCTGAAATCTCAGGCCTTACTCTGGCATTGTCGGTGGGATCCCGGGCTCGGAACGGGCCGTGCCATGACAAAAATCCCCATTTCCCTGCCGAACCCGAGAATGCTCCCGCCGGGAGCGCGGCCCCGGCCTCGAGTGGCTCCCGCGGCGCTCCGGCGCCACCTGGCGGCTGTGGGAGGGGCTGCCCCGCCCCGAGGGAAAC